CGGACGCGCAGGCTCAGCGGCCATGGCTCACGGGCCCAGCCGCTCCACAGCATGTGGGATCCTCCCGGACTGGGGCACGAACCCGTGTCCCCTGCATCGCAGGCGGACTCTCAACCCCTGCACCACCAGGGAAGCCCCCAGAGTAATTACTTTGAAACTCAGAGTAAGTCACGTAAGTGGTCTACTAAGAACTCTCCTACCCACCCACTGGTTTGGGATGAAAAGCAAGTCCTAGTCTTGTATTTTCCCTCCAACTCTGTCTCATACCCACTGGCCTCCTCACTCAGTTTAAATACCTGGCTTCTTTCTCACAGAGGCGTGGCCAAAACATCTAATATACATGTAGACCCCCGGGTTACGTGATCTCATAGCACCATCTTCTTTGCCTTCATACATGCTCATAATTTTTAACCATGTTTCCATTTTTATGTACATATATTTAATATGTGCTATCTACCGAAACAGAAGCTCCGAGATGGCGAAGAAATGGTATCTAAATTAAGCTTTCTCATTGACTATAACATACTTACGGAAAAGCACACACTTCATAGGCGTACTGCATGAAGAATCTTCAAAGATGAATATGTCCCTGTAAATATCACTCAAACAAGAACCACAACATTAACTGAGCCCCAGGGGCCCCTAAATGCGCTCCTTCCTAGTCACCGTGGCCTCTATTCCGCTGAAGGTGGCAGTTTTGCCTCTATTTAAATACCGCATAATGGGATCTTCCTTTTTCCCCTGACATTAAGTTAGTGAGGTCCCTCCACGCTGTTACTGGTAGCCATTCCTTTTTTCACGGTTGTACAGTACTCCAACATGTACATATTTCATAGTTTCTTTACCCATTATGCCTCTGAGGGACATTTAGGCTGTTTTCAGCTCTTGGCTATCATAAACAGTGCTGCTGTAAATATTTCATATCAGCTGATGCACAGACACACAAATTTGGGTTAAGTATATTTAAGGGTGGAAGTCTAGGTCATTCAACACAGGCAGACGAGACAAAGTGGTCATTCCAGCTACTCTCCCACCAATAGCTTATGTGAGTTCTAGCTGCATCGAGGGACCCAACAGTCTACAGTAGTAAGTTTAAATCTGGCCATTCTGAGTATACAGTGTTATCTTCTCGTGGTTGAAATTTCATCTTTCTTATAACTCATGATATCTTTTTTCTTTGCTGTTCAAATGAAAGCATTTCTTTTTATAAACGTTTTCTCCAGCCAGTATATCTCTAATTGCACTTAAGAAACAGAATTTAAAAAAAAAAATCTGTATTTCATCTTGTGCCAAGTTAAAAGAATATCCAGTAGCTTCCCCTTCCTGTTTTAGACTGTTATTACCATTACTTCATATTCTGTTGGTATAAAAATATGCTTTAAAAAAATCCCAAACTAACACATAAACAAGCAACACAGGTACCAGCATATCCTTATAAACATAAACATGACCGATGCTCACAAGTCAGGCAAGACAGGAATGGCGTCTTGGACGCTTGATTCATGGAGAGCGACAGGCAGTGCAAGGAAGTTTCTGGAAAACCGTCAGTCCCGGTTTTCAGCACAGGAGAACCTCTCATTTCACGGTGCACGTTTCACAATATTACAAAACCACCACCTTGTCTACTTGATTAAAACCAGGGGAAAGGGACAATGTTCCTGGGGAGTGACAAGGCACAGAAGCACCCTTGGGCCCCGCACGGCCAGCGGGCCCAGCCCCGCAGTCTGACCAGAGGCCTGGGACCCGCTGCCAGATGCTGACCTCTGCAGACACAGCGAGGGTTTCCATGGACTTCAGGAGCGCGTGTCCCCGGCGTGGATAATACACTCTAACGATGATCAAGTGGGGGAAGTGAGCTCCTCTGAATCATGCGTGGGATCGGTTCCAGACTCAGTGGAACGGCCGTCCTCTCCAGGGCCTGCACTTCAGGTGACCGGCTGAACGGTGAAGGGTCTTCCTCTCTTGTCGGTGCAGTTTCTCAGCCTCCTGCTGCTGCTTCTGCTGTTCTAACTTCTTTAATGTAAATGTCAACTGTTTGCTGCCAACCGTGGTGTCCGATACACCCAATGTCCCATTTTTCGCTTCGAGTTTCAACCGGTCTTCAAGGGTTTTATTCATCATGATACCTTCTTTTGTGAGATGCCTGTTCAAGATCCTTGCACATTTTTCTATTCCATCTGTCTTTTTCTTCTTGATTTGTAAGAGTTCTTTATAACACACTGGATCCAAGCCTTTGTCGGTTATAGGTGCCACAAATGCATTCTCCCATTTGGTAGCTTGCCCTTTCACTTTCTTATTAGTGTTCTCTGATCAAAAAAGGATCCAAATTAATGAACCCAATAATATTTTTTTCCTTTATGGTTGGTGCTTTTCTTGGTATCCAACAAAGTTTCAAAGTGACAGAATGAAGAGCATCATCAGATGATAAAATATTATCTGAAGATATAATAGCTGCAAAGTTTTGACAACTGATGAGAAACACAGTCTGTAGATTCAGGAACTCCCATGGATCCTTTAGGAAGCAGGAACAATAAAAATTAACCCACGCTTACATACATCACAGTGAAATGACAGAATGCCAGAGACAGAAAGTAGTTCTTAAAAATATCAGAGAGAAAAACACAGACCATCAGGAAGGAAAGAAAAAAAAGTAATTGAGAACTGACTGATCAAGCAGCGAGATCACTAGAAGATAGTTAAAACACCTTGAAAGTGCTTAGGAAAAAAAGAACAGTCAGCCCAGAATTGTGTATCCAGCAAAAGTACAGTTCAAGAATGAGGATGAGAGGGCTTCCCTGGTGGCGCAGTGGTTGAGAGTCCGCCTGCCGATGCAGGGGACACGGGT